TTTTGATGTTATTATTGTCAGATTGTTGTTGTTGTTGTTGTTGTGTGCCATCAAGTCGCTTGCAACTCACAGTGACCCTGTACAACAGCCCTAAACTCTGCTCTGTCCTGTGCCAATTTCACTGTCTCTGATACTCCCATCCCAATTACCCCAGTCACTGAATCAATCCACCTCATAGAGGGTCTTCCCCTCCTGCATTGTCCCTCCACCCTCCCAAGCATGATGTCCTTCTCCAAGGACCGTTTTGACCCTAACATCTAGCACTATGTTATACTTCCAGACATTGTTTTTAAAGTTTGCTATTGAAACAAGGGTGATGGAATACCTGAATTAAGGAGCTATACATCCTCAATAAATGTTCTTACCAAATACGAAAATCCTCCTACAAACACTTTAATAAAGTCTTCTGTAAACCCCCAACCAAACCCACTGCCATTGAGCTGATACCATCTCGCGGTGAGCCTCTGTCAGATTTCTGAGGCTGTGAATCTTTCTGTGAAGAAATTCCCCATCTTCCTTCTGCTATGCAGCTGCTGCATTTAAACATTTGACCTTTCAAATCAAAGCCCCAAACACAGGGCACCAAGCCAGTGGACTCCTAATTGTATAACTAGGGAAGAATAATTTCAAAATTACACGTGCTCATTTATAAGCTAGAATAATGTGTGAGTGGTTCTCATTAAAGAGAGTAAGTTACCACTCTTTGACTGTGATGACTGCTGGCTCACTATCATATTTCCTTTCATAATCAAAGGAGAAAAAACAAATCAAAACACTTACCCAGGGCATAATGACTAATGCTGTAGGCTTATTTACCTTTACTTGCAGACAAAAATAAAACAGTTTCCAGCAAAGAATCAAGAGAGAAATTTCCTCAGCTCATCCTTCAGTTCATTATTTCTTGTACTCAAAGCAAAATGCTTAAGAAACAATGCCAGGATTTTAATAATATTCTATTTTCTTCAGAACATATGCTTTCAAAATCTCTCGCCTATACCACCCTGATGCCTTTTCTGATGGTTTTATTTTATTTCACTTGGTGTGCAAAAAGAACATAGAAAGAAGTGTATTTGCCACATTTCAGCTGTCTGCCATCACATTTTCTGTCATTCAATAGTTTATTAAAAGAAATCCAAAAATCTCCCTAACCCTAAAAATGTTATTTTGGCATTTACCTATTAAAATAGTGATATTTCTTCTTAAAAAAAAAGCTACATAATTTACATAATACTTTAATTGTGCAGTTGTATAGTTATGATTAACTCATCTTGTTTTAAATGGAAGTAGTAAGTAATTTGATTTAAGTAATTCACTTCTTTATAAATTTCCATGGCTTTCTATCTTTCTTCTATTGCCAACCATGATAAATTTTGCCAGTCTCTTCCTCTTAAGTTAGACTTGATTTTATTTTCCTTACACAAGATCATTAAAGTAACAAAGAAATGATATGTGTTACAGACTTTTTCCAGTATGGGATTAGCCTGTAGGATTTTTATCTATAAATAACTCAAGCAGCCCAAATGCTCAGTTTATTGATTAAACCTCTGCTGACATTTCCCAACCCCCCCCC